CATATATATATATATATATATATATATATATATTTATTTATTTATTTAGGGAGATTATACTGAATATTTAATTGTTGTAAAATGACTACAAAAATGTCAGCTTGAGATACATGTGTATGAACTGTTTATAAAGATTTTTTCTAGAAGATTTATAAAGATTTATTCACCTTTAATTTTGCAAAAGTCTCTTAAAATATGAGAATTCTTCATTTTGACATTAACTCAAACACATTTCTCTCAAAAAAAAAAAAAACAATCAAACATATCAAACTATGTAACAGGTAAATAATTTATAATCTACTTTTTTTAATTACTTTTATTTTATTTTTTACAAGGAAAAAGAGCCATAAACATATAACTTGTTGAACCCTTCTTAAAAATGCTGTATATATAGAATTTTTTAAGCAAATAATATTATTTTAAAAAAAATTAGCAACTGTGCAAATTTATTTCTCCAACTAGCATCATTTACTGTTCACGTTTGGAAAGGACCGTTCTGGATTAAAAAATAACATATGAAAAATGGATCAGAACGGACTGTTCCAAAATCAAAATTAGCACATAAAAAATGGAACCAGGCCGTTCTACAAGCAAAACGAGCCGTTCTGACCTACAAATAATTTTTTTTTCGATTTTCACATATCAAATACCAAAACTCAGAAACTAACATCAAATAATTAAATTTATTGAATATTAACATTATAAATATATCTAAATAAATTTATTAAAATTCAATACAACAACAAAAATCAATGGTGGCAAAAACTGATTATGTTGTTCTCTAATGTCCATCGCTGTTTTAATCCTGCTGGACTTTGGTCGACCCTTGAAAGTTCTCTTGAGTTCTGGATTTGGCCACAAAGCTAAAAGAAACGTAACATTCGAAAAAAGTTTGACCCGCTGGGAGATTTATAGTAAGGCTAAATGAAATGTGGTATGATTGCGGCAAGTTCCAGAAAGGTATATGAAGGACAGTTTGGAGAGCTCCGACATGAAGATTATTGACCTACTTATATTGGTCCAACTTTGTGGCCAAATCCAGAACTCAAGAGAACTTTCAAGGGTTGGCCAAAGTCCAGCAGGATTAAAACAGAGATGGACATTAAAGAACAACATAATCGTGTAAAAAATTGTTCCTATTGTCACACCCCTGGTTACACTAGGAAGACATATCCAAATATTGGTCATGAATTCAATTTCCGCCACCATTGATCTTTATTGTTGTAATGAATTTTAATAAATTTATTTAGCTATATTTATAATGTTAATATTCAATAAATTTAATCACTTGATGGTATTCTCTGAGTTTTGATATTTGATAAGTGAAAATCAAACTAAAAAAATTTTATTTGTAGGCCAGAACGGCTCGTTTTGGATGCAGAACGGCCCATTCTGGATGTAGAATGGTCCGTTCTGGTTCTACTTTTTATGTTCTAATTTTGATTTTGGAACAACCTTCTAATCCATTTTTCATGTATTATTTTTTAATCCAGAACGGTATGTTCTAAACATGAACAATAAATGATGCTAGTTGAGAAAATAAATTTGCACAATTACTATTTAGGTAAAAAAAATTTAAAATAGTATTATTTGTGTAAAAAATTCGTATATATAAGCTCCTTTTTTTTTTTAATAGAATATAAGCTCCTTTTTAAAAACGTGAGATGATGCTGCCGGGTCCAATAAAAATTTAAATGCAGTGCAGCTCCTTAAATTAATTAGTTGAAAACGTGCACGCAGAATATTATTAACAATAAAGAAATAATCATGGGAAACAAATATATAATAGTTAATTAGAATTTTTTTGAGTAAGAGATGTTTATAGTTTAAATATGACATTTAATCTCCTTTTTATTTTAAATGTGTGACATTACACTTCAAGTTAATTAATTAATTCCTTTCCATGTCAAGAAATAGACATGACTTTTTGTTTTTTCAATTAGTGTAAAAATACAATAAAGTAAAAAAAATTACCATATATAAAGCACAATTTAAAATACTAAGTTATAAATATATCATAATATATTGGACTCATTTAATATTTTATATATATATATATATATATATATATATATATCGTTTTAATGCTAAGGCTAATTAAAAAGAGAATGGCCACGTGAGAATTGGGTGAGGCACAAAGATAAAAAAAAAAAAAAAAAAAGACAAAGCAAATGTTAAAGAATGAGGGAGAATATAATAACTAAAATTAAATTAAAAAATGTCGATACATAATAAAATATGAGTTCTATCATATTCCTTCCACATAAAAAAATAAATTGTGAATAATGAAATAGGTCCACCATTTTTAATACACTATCTTAATGAATTTTAAAAAAAGAATCATTTAAAATTCCCCTCGATTCCATTCCAATTTCCATCTATCATCTTACCGTGAATCCGAACATACCTTGAATTGTCCAAATTCACTTAATCCTTTCAAGCTGGTAAATCAAGCCATACGTGATGTGACTTTGAATACTTTTTAAATACGATAATATCACAACAATTTGAACTTTCATATTAAATTAAATGAAATTTATTGTTACCAAATTTCTAATTATTTAATTGAAAAGAATCACTTTTATTAGTTTCTTTAAATAATGCTTAAATTTATTCAATCAATGTTTAAAATAATAAGATCTTTGTATTTTTTTCTCTATTATTTAGATTAATGTTCGTCATTTTCAAAAAGTAAAAATTTTAAACATCAATACTTTTATATTTAATCTTTTATTATTAAAATAAATTTTATCAATTGAATTAATTCTCTTAAAAAATTCAATTTAGTTAGTTACATTTTATACAAATAACCATATAAAGCACCAAAAACATACTAGTATGCTTTATTAATTATTGACTTATTAGTCGGTTATTGGTTTTATTATTATGTATTCGAATAATTTATAATTTAAAATAATACTCCTACAACTCAAAACTGCCATAAAAGTAAGAAACTTTTTGCTAACAACTCAAGCTTTATAATAGGTGTTGTACTCATATACATTTTCTCAAATTTTTTTAAAAAATAATTAATTGACTATACAGCAATGCAAGAGCTGGAACTTGTGTGCTTTTGAGTGGCATGACATTTACGTAAGACTATAACAACCCAATTACTTTCTGTATGTACGCCCATGATTTAAAGGGACAACTGATTATTTTCTTTAGAAGTTTATATTTTTTGGCTAACCATATTCTCATGAAAGTTTAATTAATAATTATATATTAATGAATAAATATGAAGGTACGTAAAGTCTCTATATATTCCCATATTGCTTCTGAACGAAGTCGAAATGATGTGGTTTGTCATGGACGATAATATTGATAAGTCAATGGCGTATTGGCATGGCAATGCAATTATGGGTCATAGTCGACTCATGCATGGCGTTTTATGCATGTCCATGTTTCCCATAACCCCATTAAACACAAGCTTACATCATCATCCTTTGTATATATATACATCACATGCATATGTATAACTTGCCAATTAATAATAATAATAATAATCATATAGACCTTGATGTGCTAAGAGTCTTAACTTAGATATGGGTTCTCTATTTTTAATTTTCCTTCTTCTTCTTCTTCTTCATCTTACCGACGGTGTCCTTGTTCGAGGAAGCATGAACACAGAAACAAGCTTCGATCAAAACTATGAGGTTACATGGGGTGGTGATCATGTTTTGTCCTTAAATCAAGGGAAAGAAATTCAGCTCACAATGGATAATTCTTCAGGTTTGTAGCATTTCCTCTTCTTTTATATCATGTGCAACTACTTTTTATTTGTAATTTTTCTCAATTAATTTTACTTTATAACGTAGATTTCTTCCCCCAAATCACACATATTTTTGTCTTTAATTACTATTCCATTATGTTTGGATTGGTACTAGAGGGTGAATTGTAAAGATTATAGAGATACAAAGTATATTTGAATATAAATTAGAAACCCCTTTTAGAGTTTTTTTTTTTTTTTTTTTACTGAGAATAAAGAGTATATTTTATAAAAAAAGATTAAAAAAAAACCTTTTAAATTTATCTCCACACAAACTCATAATAGAGTGTGAGGTTGTTTCATTATTTAGTTTATACATTTAATAATATGAAAGAAAAGAGATTATAATCTTTTAATATTACCTAATCCCAATTTGGGTGCACTTTCTTCTCTACGAATATTATTAGGTGCACTTTATGGAAAAAATTAATTTTTATATTATAATTAAAATTATTATTTCATCATCATAAATTTTATGTTATTTTTTAATATCTAAAAATAATATATTTAGAATAAAAATAATATGTTATTTTTCATTTTGTTTGATATTTGTTTTCTAAACAAGATGATACTGGTATAATTTTTATTAATTATTATACTACTCAACAACTTTATACCATATGTAAATTTCATCGATCCAACCATTAAATTATAATTTCATATTATTTTGTATATTTATATTAAATTTTGTTAAAATTAAATATTAATTTAAATATAATTAAATTATTCATATATTTTTTTTATATTTTTAAAATACATATTTATGTCAATTTTAATTTATATAAAT